TACCTTGGATAGCGCGCCCCACCGTTGCTGGTGCGCCTGCAAACACGCATGCGCTCCTACAAGTACAGGAACTCACTTGCCGACAACGCTCAGTATACCACCAACATCCTGTGTGACCGCCATAGCACAGACATGCGGAAAGGTGATCTCGTGTGTATTTACCTGCACATACCAATGCACTCAAATGTGCGTATAGGTATAAGGACGATGTAGGGGATCTTCAATCTCCTAAAAGTTGCTTGAGGTTCATCACGGAGTGCCCGATATGGCTTCGCGATGTTTCGGATTGGAAGCGGCAATCCAAACGATGCATGCAGGCTGTGCGAGCTGGCCGAGGCGGGGCACTGACAAACACCCGAACCATGCACCATGCTGGTGCAGGACATGTTCGGCACTCTACGGGGTAGTCAGTACATACCTCCGGCAATGCCCGTAGCGCACAAACCTGCATGCGCGCGCTCCGGCCTCCACATCCTCACCTAACACATTAGTGGACTGACGGGGGTGGCGGGCAAATGCACGGCCATGTGAACGCCAGTGCCTAGTTGAAGATTTTGTTTATCTCAGGCAGGGGAATGATGGGAAATGAATGCTTTGTTCCTGGGGCGGCCCAAGGCAGACAAGGCTTCCTATCGCGGCCACCAGTGTGCGAATGCAAAATGCCTTCTGGTGCCTAGGGCCCTAGGTAGGCATCTGAATCTGTATCTCCTTGTCTGCTTGAACTTTCATACAGAGATTCAAGAAACGGCCAAGTTGCATCCCCAAGCCTTGGCCAATGCTGAGGGTGTACAAGCCCAGCGTGCAGAAGACGTAGGTGTATTGACCGATCACCCTCAGATGACTTCAACTCTCACACTCACTATCCGGATGATTGAAACCCGACGAGAGGATTCGAGCCATGTCGTCCCAATCGAACCCTGTGATGATCGGGCCATGTTGGCAGCGTCGCCGGCACTCGGCAAGCCTCTAGAAAATTTCAACATCTGTGAGAAACACCCCAGCAAACCATCCTTAGCATGGCAGCTACTTGTATCGAAACAAGACCGAACAAGGTTCTCTGCACCCAGCATCCTTGGATCAGATTCCATGTGTTTGCGCCCAACTCGTTGTGAGGTACCATGCAGTGGACAACATGGTCCACCCTCGACACTCCAAACAAGACGTGAGCGAAAAGATAAACATTTCACTGATGAAAGGAATCATGTCCCTGAGCCCTTAAGAATTTTGCATTCCGAGATTCACAATTTCTTGGGCCAGTTCCAAACGCTCGGGTAAAGCACGTGCGAAGGTTTGCCGCACGAGTTCCTTGAAGGTGGTGGCATCCTCAGAGGCTTGGAAGGTTGCAGCTTGGCAGCGACTATAGCCAGTGAGTTCGACACCGAATTGCTTCTTCCAAGTGTCGGGAAAGCGGCAGTGAACCTCATAAGTCCCGGAATGTCCAAGAACAAGCTTTGCGCGAATTGGCCGTGCGGCTCCTTTCCTAAAATAACTATGCAATACGAGCTTCTAGCTGCCAACCTTCCAACCCAGCATTGCTGCGAATTGAGTCAACCAAGTTCGCGATATGAAGTGAAAGGTGAAGGCAAGCCGCTCTCCAAACCAAGATCATGATGTGGGCATTCATGGCCAGCATCGCGAGGATGCAGATGGTGCCAAGGAGCCAGCCGAGCTTGGCGACAGCTTGGCCTAAAACGGAGTAGTTATGGCATTTCGCCAAGAACGTGCTCCACAGCCAAGTCGCCCATGGCGAGGACGCCCGCGCCAACTACATCCGCGACTAAAAGGCCAGCCTCCGTCGGCAAACGCAGTGGGGAGGGGTCCCCAGCAATCATCCATCCTATGATAGTTTCTCACGCAGCAAATCAACCATGCAGTCAGGCTTGGAACCTGAGGAACTGAAGTCGAAGGACGAGGAACGGTTAGAAGCGCAGAATTTCCCCGGTTGCGGCCGCCCTCCGGGTCCGAGTTTTTCCTGGCTTTCTGTGCTTGCAAGATACGGAGCCCTTGTCACAGGATGCAGGAGGGCCGGAAGTGAGAGCAAGCGCTTTATTCGGATTGCACAGGTAACCCGGGTACTTTAAACATTTTAAACTGCCATAGTCCGGAAAACAAGTTTTGGCGGTTGAAGGATTGCTTTCAAGATCCCAAACCCCGGCAACGCAGGCCTGGCCATGGAGGCAGAGCCATAGTCTGCCTGCAGGTGTAATGGGAGATTTCCCCTCTCGCATTGCAGAGATCAACGCTCACGGCGATGCTTCTCAGAGTCTCAGGGACACTTCGAGACCCGGAGCTCTTGCTCTGTAGAGAACTCTGTTACGAAGCGTGTAGCTGGAGATGTCTCCGAGGCCATCAAGGCCGGCCGGGCTATCACAATCGTGCGCTCGATTTGTCGAACGAGAAATCCAGCTTGAATGCCTGCTCTTATCGTGAGCACAAAGAATAGTCTTGGGGCCCCTCGAGTCTGCTTGTTCACTACCACTTCTGCCGAAGGGGGCTCCAA